AGGGAAGCCATAACTTATTTCTGAAGAGCGGCTGATAACGTGTGGTCCATTCTGAAGACCTTGCTAAGTTGGGAGACTCATTTCCTATCCCCCCCACCCCCAGAACATTTTAGGCCTCTGTAGAAAGCTGAGTTTCCTCCAAAAGTCTGATGGACTTCCTCTTTCCAGAAGATGGCCTTCTAATTGGAAGTTTTCTCAAAAGGCGCTTCCGTTCGGAGGCATCACTCTCTCTTTGGAAGGGTTGTCCCTCCCAATCCAGTCAAAAGAGCAAGAATCACAAGAAGCTGCAAAACTGTAGTCGTTGGTTCATCAGCATCTCACTTGGGCAGCCAAGCTGCAGAACATCTGCTCCGTTTTCCCCCACCTGGAAGTGACCATCTTTTCTTGCTTGACCTTTTTTTTTTTTTTTTTTGGACAAGCCAGGCAGAGTTTTTCTCCTACCTGCCTCTTCATGGTGAGAAATTGTGCACGGGGGGCGGGGGGGGAGGAAAATGGGACGGGATGGTTGCCTTCAACAGATGCAAGTGACCCAGCCTGCTGAGTCTTGGTGGAGAATGTCACGAGCCTTGCCCTCCAGAGGAGAGTTTGGGGCCAAGGTCACAGGCCTTCCTGAGCATCGTGCCAGGTAAAAAAGCAAAGTGCCAACACTCCCCACTCTTAGCCAGATAACTCCTGGAAGACCCCCAGTTGGAATTAAGGGCAATGTTATCTGGCAGCTTCAACACAAAATATTTGAGCGGGTTCCTTTATTAACTCACTTTGAGGGTTTGGGTAATACTTTGAACCACGAATGGGCTGGATCTGGCCCAGATGTGAAGCCCCAATGAAACCAAACACCCTAGCCAAAAGTAAAACTTAACCAAATTTTGCAGACATCCAGCTGCTGGCATTGCCCTGTGTCTAAGTCCCTCGCTTCCAGCAGCAGACAAAAGACAATATTTTTCGGCAAGAGTTGTTCTGCTGTAGCAAACCGACCGGTCCAGTTTTAGAAGACAACCAGATTAGCCATTAGCGGAGAAGGCTGTGATGGTCCATGCGTCGGTTGGAGATACTCTGCGCTGCAAGGCTAGAAAAGAAGAGGCTGTCTTTTCTACGGCAGACAAACCCCAAATAAGTAACCCCCCCACTCTGGCTTGTAGGCCAAAATTTTCCATCCTTATTTGGAGATGCTGAGAGGGAACCTTTCTGCCTGCAAGCCAGCTGCTCTGCAGTTGAGTTGCAGCCTTTCTCCTAAAGCCAACATAAGATTCTAGCCTTCGTGAGTCTGACTAAAGATCTGATTTAAACAGGAACGTCCAAGAGGCCCTTAGAAGTCAAGTTCTTTGGTCCAACCAGCCAGATATTTTTAATGCCGACCAGCAGCAGCAGCAGCGCCCCCCATTTCAGGCAGTTTTCCCCCATTTGACCTGAAGATACTGAGATCCGAAGCAGAGCACTGCCAGGGGTTAAGCACAGGCTTTTCCGCAGCGGCAAGTCTTGTACAGCGTCTAGAAAAACAAGTAGCAAAGTGCAAACTTCAAGTATGAAAAGGCCCAAGGTTACTGGCGGCGGCTTGCCTGCAGCCCTCTTAAATTTCATACTGCACGAAATTTAGTTTTGGGTCTGGGCCTGCCCACTTCTCAAAATGCACCCCAGCCCCCCAGCACGTCACTGGGGAGCCAGGCTCGGCCTTGCCCCTCCTCCAAACAGCGGCACACCCCTGCAGGAAACGGAACCAGCACCTAAGCGGGTGCTCTATATGCTAAACTCACTGCTTTCCGATAGCTAAGCAGGGTCAGAGCTGATTAGGACTTGGATGGGAGACCACCAGGAGATCCCAAGGTCACAGGCTGGATTGGGAAATTCAAAACACAGCCCAGAAAACAGCAGCGGCAATCCGTTCCCATTGGGTTGCCCAGGAAACAACCCACACATCGCCAGATTGAGTTCAAGTCAAGGAAAATGCGACCTGATCTTAGGTTCGTGGCTTACTCGAAACGAGATTGTGACAGCCTGAAGGTGATTCACACAAATACGGGGGGTGGGATGGCACAATGAAGAGCCCCTTTTAAGGCAATGGTTGCAACCAGATTGCACGGTCTCCGAAGCGGTCCCTCTACTTGCACGAATCCAGGGATTCAACGCCAGGCAAGACACCATCCGGGCCAGGAGTAAATAGATGACTGTCTTGGTTGCAGAGCCCCGTCTTTTCAAAGCCTGCATCCTATTTTCCGTGTGCCAGGAAGCCAGGCTACGGCCTCCGTCTGCGACGGCGGTGCCAGCTTATGAAACAGGCTGCTGACGCATCAAGAAGCCAACCTGTGGCTCGTCCGCGGGGTCACTGCGTGTTTCCCGACAGGGCCGATCGCTCTCCCCTGGCTCTGAGTGACCCTTGGGGGGCCATCCAAGTCAAGGCTGGTTTCCTTTCCCTGCTTTGATTTATCTGCAACACTTCCCAGCAGAAACAAAGCCCGCACATCCAGCCAACTGATCGTCCAGCTCCAGTGACGTTTGCAGCTTCCCCTGCCGCCAACCTCTACCTCCTGAGCGGGATCTGCCCTCAAGGGCTGGCTGTCCGGTTCCCTTCCTAGACTTCCCGGTCCCTGCAAGGAACGCTCCAAATAAAGATGGCTTTAAAACAAACAGGGAAGACTTCCACACTTACATCTGCAACTCCTGACCCGTGCCAAGCTCATTTTTCCAACGCCTTCAGACTGCGGGTGGAGTCTCCCCAAGACCCAAATCCAATTATAAAAATACAGAAGCGTAAACGGCTTTGCTGACGTATTGTAAACGTGTTTCGTGCCAGTCTCGCCACCCGAGCCTTGTGGCAATCGAGGACATCCCCTTTGGTTGCAAGGAGACAAGATCTGCTAAAAGCAAATTCGCTTGAGACTTGGAGACAGGGCTTCATAGTTTTGGTCATCCACATTTGTTTCAACGACATTTATTCCAGGGGAATTGAAGGCCGGACCACAGAAATGGATCCTGCACCTTTCTTCTTGCTAAGAAACCTGTATTTCAATATTGGAAAGATAAGAGTTCCAGTTATTCAAGGGTTGAAAATCTGATGTAACTCATGACTTATATTCAGATACGACAAGCTCTCGTATATTTAATCTGCTTTGCTTTTTTTCTTTCCATATCGTTTCCTTTCTTCCCTTTTTAGTTAACGAAATAACGGCAAAATTCACAGGAAGAAACACATCCGTTAAGGTTCATCTCCAAGAAATGCAGGTTCAAATCAGGTTGTGTGTATTCATCCTGAAAATGTTGTTCACGGACTTCTGAGAAATAATAATTCAGTAATGACTCCGGCTGTTCAAGCTTTGTCCCCCATACAATGGATAGTAAAAGAAAAGGCTCAAGTCCGTTTGAACCATATTTTAGGCACAAAGAATGACTGGGAAATCTTGCTACACCAGTATTTCTCAGAGCTCAGATCTTGGGCTTGGATAAGGTTTTATCCAACTGGTAATAAAACAATGCAATTTAAGTGAGACGTTACTGAACGGCAGGTACTTACTAAGGAAATGTCATTTTTGGACCGTAATTTTGTTTTGTTCTGAGCTAGGCATTTAACCTGATGGGGAAAATGTACCGAACCCCCGTTTCTAGTTTCAGGAAATGCCAAACAATGAAGTTATATAGATTTATAACCTTTTAGCCGTGCAAGATTTTTCACCAGGGGTTATATCAATATAGAAGCATAGGAACTGGACATTGGCTAGTTAACTTGCCTCTTTGGACTTTGAGTGGCCTCCCCGATTGGTATGTTGGACTCCATCTCCCAACAGGCCTTGAAAGCCTGGGCGTGGGCCAGAAACGTTGGAAGTTGTAGTTCAGCTGTAGTTCGGAAGAGCCACATTTTATACTCCTGGATCTATGGACCTTGTGGTGGATGGGGCCTCCAAGGATGCTGTTCAGGTACAACGTCCTCTCCAGGTGTCAACTTGATCATGAACAGCCTTGCGTGCATGTCCTACTCTCCCATCTTCTTCCACTGGTGTTACTGGGAATTCCGGATCCAGGAGGAACATCAGTTGATCTTACAAGGGGGGACGTTGGGCCAATTCAGGCAGATAGATTCAGGGGAAACGCCAAGTCACCCCGTCATGGTGTCATCACACAAAGGTTGCAAAACACATCATTCACACCCGTGCAATGATGGCATGACATGTGGGACGTCATTGTGGCTTTTAGGAAGGCAGAGCCAAAGAACTGGGCGCCGCAAAGATGGGAACGCTCGCTTTATCTCCCAGATCCCAAATTTTATTAGCCAAAGATTTCAAATCGCAAATTCTTTGAAGACAAAGAGAAGGGAGGAAGAAATGGATAGCAGGTTGGAGGGGGGCAACATTTAGTCTAGTGTTTCTCAACCTTGGCCAACCCCAGGGACGGGGGGTGGCCATTTCCCAAATATCCTCCGCCAGCCCCTTTGTTGGGGGCTTTTGGGGGGAGGTGTGCGCCACTTTTATTGCG